TGCCAATTACCCTTTAATTAACGGAAAAACTGACGGAATATGGACGGAAGGACGTCCAGCGTAAAGAAAGGTTGAAATGAGGGCAAAAATGCCAAAAAATTAAAGGTAGGGACGTTTTACACAATAGATTTGAAAGGTAGGGATGTTTTGTGCCAATTACCCAAAACAAAAAATATGATACTTTAAAAAAAAACAAAAAAATCACGTCTTCGTGACACGTAGGCAAGTGCCTCCGTGTCACGGAGACATTCTCGACATTACATATATCATTCTCGACATTTGAACACTTTCATAAAAAAAAAAACGAAAAAATCACGTCTCCATGTCACGGAGACATTCTCGACATTACATATGTCATTCTCGACATTTGAATACCATTTCATTAAAAAAAAAAAAATCACGTCTCCATGACACGATGGCAAGTGTCTTCGTGTCACGGAGACATTCTCGACATTACATATGTCATTCTCGACATTTTAACATCGTTTCTGTCTAGAATGACATTTTATTTTGAACATGACATGTCTCTATATTTGAAAATGTCGTTCTTGACGTTTCTGAGTCAACGAAAAATATAGCATTTATTATGATTTGACATGTATACTTTTGAAATAAATATGGCAGGTCATGTGTCAAAATTTTATTCGCCAATAACAATTTTGCAAAAATGTCCATTTTTTTTTTTGTTTTAGTGTGGAATTAAAAATTGTTAATAAAGGTATTTTGGTCTAAATTTTTTCAAATTGGACATTTTTGCAATGGTTTGCAATAATGAACATTTTTGTAAATGACTAGATAAAAATGGACATTTGATGAAATTTCCTCTTTTTTATAATTGCTGGGAACAGCAATAATGAGAACATGTTAGGCATGATCAAACTTCTATAAACTCGTAGAAAAAGTATGATTTCTTAAACAAGAAAGTTGATTTTAATGACTTGTATATTTTTTTAAAATTCATTTTTAATTAATTATTCTTTTAATAAAATAAATTTACAATTGAATTTGTGAATTCTTATTTTTTATCTTTCTTTTTTATCATATATTATTCAAAAATCATTTTTTAATAAATTTATTATAATAAATTTTAAGGGCTTAGCAAGATCGATCTTGTTACATTGTAAATCAAACTCGACATCAATTTTGACACTACTATGATATCGCAGCTTTTTATACGTTGATTTTAATAATACTTTAAACAAATTTGATACACAATGAGTTTCAAACTTTGTTAGATATAGGGATGTCAAACGGGCCGAGTGGCTTGTTGGCGACGAGCCCGAGCCGAGCTTCTGAGCTCACAAAATATGATTTTGTTTAAATAAAATGTCCAAAATGTGCAAATTTAACAAAAAAATTAAAAAAATCATGAACTCGCGAGCGGTTCGCGGGCTCGGCTCGGCTCCCCCCCCCCCCCCCGTGAGCTCATCCCCAAGCAACGAGCCAAGCTCGAGTTCAGCTCGTCTTTCACGAGCTACGAGCCCGAGCAGAGCTCGTGGATTAAAGGGCCGAGCCATTGCCATCACTAGTTAGATATGATGTTTTGAGTAATATTATAAATATTTACCTTAACTAACCACCCTATTTGAAAATTTCCAAGAGACCCGTCGATATGCATCAAATCGTGATTTATGAAATAAATTTTCACATATTTTATACTCGTCAATATTGGAGTTGAATTAATCGCAAGTAGTATTTATATTTAAACAATAGAAAGGCCAAACATCAATTCTCAACAAAGTCGATGTACATAATGTAAGTTTCAAAATTAGATTGGTTCTCAATTGAATTAAGCATTCATGTCTAATTTTGAAGACATTTATAATCATACTCTGCATACGTCATAAATCTTTTTTCACTTTGACAAACTTAAGAAAAGTACTATCTGTTAACGTTTGATAGATAGGGGTACATGATCATAATTTTAAAAATACTCCACTTAAAAAAATTTGAGATTATAATTGTATTTCTTTCCTTTAGATATTTCATTAGGTTTTAATTATGTGCTTAATGTTTAGTCGAAAATTAATCACAAATTTTGCTTTAGAAAATAAAATTAAAAAGCCAAATGCTGTGGCAGTTTTCCCAGAATTCAATCATATAAGAACCTCCGATTGGTGGGATTGACATTCAGATAAAAAAGTAAAAATCCAAAAAGTCCCCCGGTGAAATCTTTCATTTGAGCCTATTTGTTCAGATTCAAAATGTATTTTGAAAGGGATAAATCCATCGATAACCACTAAATTTTATATTTAGATCACCCAATTTGATTTTATTTCATCATGGTCATTCAATTTTATATAACGTTTTATTTTGACCACCCAATTTTATATAATATTTCACAATGATTATCTAACTTCTTTTCACCCTTTACATATATAAAAAATAAATTTAAAAGAAAAAAAATAAAATGAAACTTACTTTAAGCCCACGTTTGACCCCCATTACCTGAAAATTAAAATGGGGGGAATAGTATTTTTTAGAAAAATGAGTGGTTGAAAGAGAAGGAAAAATTTTCGATTTACGTGTAATATTATTTTATGGAAGATTGTGTGGTTGAAAATAAGAGAGAGAAAAATGGAATGTGATGTAATTGAATTTAATGGAGATTAAACGGGGGCTAAAAAACGTTACTTAAAAAATAAAATAAAAATTATTTAAAAAACACTACTTAAAAATAAAAAATAAAGACTTATTCTAAACGAAGTTTTTAAATAAAAAAATTATTTTTAAATTTATTTTATATATAATGCAAAACTACTATTTTATCCATTTAAAATTAGTGAAAATGGTGAAACGAAGTTAGGTGATTATTGTGAAATGTTATTTAAAATTGTGTGATTATGATGAAATAAAATTAAATTGACGGGCTTTGGTGATATTAAGCATAAGATTGGATGATCATCAATGAATTTAATGCAATTTTGAAATAACATTTTAGCCATGGTTAAAATAATAATAATAATAATAAAATTTGAAAAGGAAATGCCATTTAGCCAATTAGCTGTACAAATGGCATACAAATAATAATAATTGGGGACGGCATAAAAATCATAATAATAGGCTCAGGATATCTGATCCTATATACCTTAACCCTGTGAAAATCTCAGATCAAAAAGCCCTAAATCCGTTCGTACCGAATTTGTAATTTGTCAAGTTACGGGTTTGAGGATTTAACTTTTTGTTGATATTTTGCGTGGTCTATGAGTGGAAAGGAGATGACGGAGCAGGAGTATGATAGCGATCCAGAGGCGACAAAGCTTTCATTGAAGATGAGGAGGAGAGAGGCGAGTGATGATGAAGAGGAGGAGGAGGGAGAAGAGAAAGGGGAGCGGGGAGAGAGAGTTGTGCGGCCGATCGAATCGGATGGGGAATCGGAGGGTCAAGGCGCGGCGGCGGAGTACGAGGAAGGAGGAGAGGAAGAGTATGTAGAAGAGGAAGAAGAAGAGTATGAGAGGACTGGTGGCGGAGAGGTTGAAGAGGTGGCGGTGGAAAAGATAGAAGAAGGTAATGGAGTGATTGAAGGAGAGTTAAAGGACGAGAAAAGAGGTGTGAGGAATGATGTGAGTGAGATTAATGATGATGGCCTTATAGATGATGTTCAGCAGGAGGATCAGAAGAAGGAGATTGAGCCATATGCAGTGCCCATAGCGGGCGCATTTTACATGCATGATGATAGGTTTCGGGACAATGTCGGTGGACAACACAGGTATTCACAGTTGTTCAAAATTCTTTTAACTGATGGGAGTAATAGATACAATAGAGTCTGTTAAATTGGAATTATAGGCTGTCTCATATGGTTAGGGGAAGTTAAGAATTGTTATTGTTTGTTTAACTCAACAACAAATAATGGCGTGTAGTAAAAGGACATCTTTTCCAATCCAACAGGCTGGAAAAAGGTCCTAAGAGGTCAACAGCAGAAACCTTAAATAAAACCGAGTAAAAAGCTTGGAAGCCCAGCACATGCAGAATCAGAGAAGACGGGCTTGAAGGCAAATTCAAAAGCAAAAAGTCCTGAGTCGAAAGATAAAACAACTAAATCCACATCATCGAGACATTCAAAGGACAGACAATTTGCCTTTGGTCTGCAAACTCCTATATAATCTCCATCTTGGTGCTTTTAGTAGAATATCATTCTTCTGGCCATTAAGGAAAGGATGGAATGTGTTTAATCTTAAGGCAGCCCTGACATAACTTGCATGCCCAAATTTGGTTGGTTCGAGTTTAAGCTCTCTAGGATTCTAATAAGCAATGTCATTCTGAGATATAGTGATTATATCTCTGGGATACATTAAGGCATAAAAGCTGAAATGGATGGAGTTCATTATATAGTACTTGGCACTTCTCTTTTTATTGCTTCCTGCTGTTCTTGGTGATTCGGGACGTACATGCATATTTCATGTAGATAGTGAAGTAGGATTTTATACTACGATGCAAACCCCCATCTTTTAAGTCGATCTTTTGAACTTCAATTTGTGTTACTTTTTGGAATCATGATCTAATCTTACCATGTTAATGCATTTATTATTATTATTATTATTATTATTATTATTATTATTATTATAGCTTTTTAATAAAATAAATATCATATTTGTTTTGAATTCTTCTTGTACTTAGGCGAACTCTTGGTGGAAGAAAGTTATGGGATTCTAGAGACGAGAGGAAGTGGGGGCACGATAAGTTTGAAGAGCTGACTACTCATGAATGGCAGTATAAAGAGGTGAACAATCCCACCAGATTTTTATTTGTGGATATATTTTTCTGCACAATTTTAGTGATCTTATGGCCTGCTAATAATGTGTATAATTTTTCCAGCGTAGGAAGACTTACGGGGGTCGTTCTCGAGGACGCGGAAGAAACAGAGGTTTAGATCGTGGATATGATGGAGAAAATAGGCCCAGAGTTTACAATAATAATAATAATCAAAATAGTGATAACAACCAGAACAATGCAGTGAAGGTTGTCCGTGGACGAGGACCTAGAAGGTATCAGCCATCTTTCAAGAACACCAATGAGGCGCCTCTCGCACGAAATAAACAGTGAGTAAAATCATCTGTTCCTATGCAATTTTTTTTTCGAAGCTATGTTCTTCAAATTATTTATCATTGCTTATGCATTATTTTAGATATGTGAAATCAGTTGGAAAGCCTTCACACTTTAACTCTGGGAGAACAAGAGCTCCTATGCCAAGTGTAGAATCTGATGCTTTTCGTCCTAGGAAACAAATGTTTGGATCTAGTTTGAGCATTGCCTCTCCTCCATTTTATCCCTCTGGTTCTTCCGCGGAAGATACTTTGCCGCTTAAGAGGAATGTACAAGCTAGCGCAACTAATCGAAATATTCAGCCGTCTATTGCTGATAAGAGTTCTACCTTTGCTCAATCCTCTGAAATGATGCGTGGAAAGAATAAAGTGGACTCCATTGGCATGGATAAACTTTATATTGATGATTCAGAATCTGCTAATAAGCCTTTGAACGCTCTGCAATTGCTGCCATCTGGTTCATCATCATTTAATTCTACTCAACCTCAGCAGTCAAGGGGTCAAGGGAGAGGAATGACCTCCTTAACTCAAATGGCTTATGAACCAGTTTCTGATAATCAGGTCAACAGGGTTCCTCCAGCAATCCTGCTACAAACAGCTCAGAAGAATCCTGATCAAAGTCGAGGTCTATCTTCTTCACAAGCCTCTGGCCAGCAGTTTCTGCAGCATCTTACCAGTGGATCACAAGCTTCTTCTCCACCTAAAGCAGCTGTGCCTGTGAATTCATTTGAAACTGGAGAACTGGAATTTCTCTCTGACTCTAGTAAATCAAAGACTGCTTTGGCTGCTAAAGGAAAAGGGAGTGTTGAAGGCGGCGGAAGGGGCTCCTTTCTATATGGTGGTGTTCAGGTTATAGGGGCATCTGGAGATATGGGCAGTGGTCATGGTGATCAAAACTTCCCAGCTTTCTTGCCAGGTACAACTAGCTGTGACAAAGGGACAAGGAATTTTTTTATTATTATTATTATTTTTAAGTTAATCTAGAAAACAGTTCTTAGAATTTATTTATTCATTCGAGTTGCATTTTTTTGGTTAAACTTGCATAAGAATTAGCAATTGTGACTTTGTTACAGTTACGGTATATTTTTCACAGGAAGTATGGTGTATATAATGCACTGATGTAATTTCTTTTAGGTTTGCATTTGTAAAATGAATATTACCTTATCCCCACAATCAGATAAAACATAATACCTTATCTCCACATTTTTCCATTAGGTTTGCATTTGTCAATATGCGTTTGTGCACTTTCCAAGTCGTTACCGTGTTAAGGGTAATTTAAGAAAAATTAAGGAAGTAGTGCTTTATGTTATACTTATTGTCTGCTATTCCTTTAAATTTTACTTACTGTTTTATAGGGAAATATCTTCATAAAGACAAAATTCACCAAAGAAATGAGTTTGTTTATGAAATTGTGAAATTTTATGTGGCGCTGGGATTTCTCTGAAATATATCCAATTAGAATTACTATTTTGGTCCATCCGGTACATTTGTGCTCCTTCGCTTGATTGCTAGCTTCACGTAACTCCTTTTGTTTGTCGGAATACAGTCATGCAATTCAGAGGTCAGAATCCTGGTGGTGGCGTTCGAGTGCCTGCTGTTGGCATGGCCTACCCTGGATATGTTGCTCAACCTCAACTCGGAAATTCTGAAATGACTTGGTAACTACTAATTTTCCAACACAGACTTACACAAAGCCCCCACACCCGTTATTTATCTACTACTGTGCGAGTGCTTCTCTCGCATATTTATTCACTGATTAGATTGTCTCAACATGCATAAACCTTTTTTTATTATGATTTGATTTTTCTGACTCTTGAAGACCCCAAATTGTGCTGTATATTTTAGCATGCCAAATGTCTACTGTTAAAAGTTTTTAATGATTTTTATTATTTTTATGACATTCAGGCTACCAGTTTTAGCTGGTGCCTCTGGGGCACTGGGGTCAACATATTCTCCATATCAATCTGTAGATGGTTCATATCATGCTCGACCATCCGAACAGACATCTTCTGCAGTGTCCACTTCCAGGTGGGTAAGGTAGTTCGTGCTTGAATATCAATGGTCTTTTCCTCTCTGCTTGCATTCCCTTACTTGGGGGGCTTCAGTATCAAATTGGATATACTTGATGTACTTTTTCTTGTCTTAGCTGTTGTGCGTCTGGTTTTGTTCTGTTTATTGCCTGCATTTTTTGCTTTTATCCACAACTGTTTTTGGTGAATGGATTTGATAACCAAGTTTATGGAACAAATAGTTAAACTTCCATTTTGGTTGCAGCAAAGAAACCAGTACAACTAAAGACAGTAATGACTGGAGCCCCACACAGAGGCATGGTAAGATAAGATGAATTGTACTGTATTTTCTTGCACTTTTCTCTCCCATTATATAGCTGCCTAAATGTTTTTTTATTTTTTCCTGGCAGAGGTGGCAAATGATGACTTTGGGCAGAGGCAAAAGAATCCTCGTAGGCAAGTTGACATTCCTTTTCTAAGCTGAAAAGTGATATCTGGATGTGGAGTCTTCCATCCCCTAGCACTTCTTTTTCAATGCAATATGATTCGTGTTAACCTCAGTATGTGTATTGACTTCTTTAAAATACACTGCAGATATACGGAGATGAAATTTGACCAGTGAAGTAAGTAGATAGGTGGAACCAGTTTCAGTGTGCAGATTAATTCAACTTCTTGCAGTCAGAATCTCTTCCATCTGTTGGGTATTGTGGAGTTTCTGAGCTGTTCTTTTGGTGCTGCAAGCCTTGGGCCCCTTTGTGTTCTCCTGTTCTAAAATTGGAGCGCATTGGGCTGCCACATGTTCTGGGATAATTTTAGGTAATGGTTCTATCTTTTGGCTTGGTTGTGAAGTTGTGGGGTGTTGTATACTTACTTTCCAACACACATTCCCCTTCAATATAATGATAGATTCTTCATGTCTTGTGTTATTGCGTCAT